TTCATAGCCATTTGTTTTTTTCTACATCAACACTACTGATCACTGAATGCCTTTCCAGTCAAACTTGTTTCCATTTCCTGACGCATCACGCGAAACCGAGTATCGTCGTTATTTCCGTTCCAAAAGACGACGAAATGATGATGGTACCTGAAGTTTCAGGGCATGCTCCGGCAGTCTGATGCAAGAATCTCTATCAATACTTGCCAGAAGTCGTTGTGTTCGTCATTGTTTCCCTTCCATGTCCAAAAGTCGTTGATGATGTCATGGATTCATACATGTAAAAGCGATTATTTTACACTTGCTGATCATATATTACGACCGAATGAATCAGAAACTAAACTTTTCGTCCAAATCAATCAGCCAGATGATTTTGCTACACTGATCAGCGTTATCAGTCATCTTCATTTGTCCGCATGAAATAGCACAAACCACATAAGATAACTGTTTCTGCATTGGATTAACAGTACATTCTGCGCCTTTCGCATGCGGTTTGGTTAGCATCATTATTGATGTTGTTGAAATGTTGCAGTTTGTTAGCATTATCAGTTTCATTCATTTGATGAGTTTATTTAATAATATGTCATCACTTATCATTACACTGTGAAATAATCATCGAAAAGTACCAAATTTTTATGATTTGAAGCCGCCTCAGTGGCATCAATTTGTTTTTAATTTCATTCACTTCACTTGTTGTTATTTTAATTTTTATTGATAAGTTTTAGCCATTAATGGAAAGCTGTAATTTAAGGTAAATGCCACATAACGATTCATGCATTTACTCTTGATTTTTTGTATCAATGGATTGAATTCTTACAATTAGCAATGATTCATCATCAATTCAAGCTATTCGCTGAATTGGTTCGTAAAATTATTTTTTTAACTACAGTTTTTGTATTTCAATGATCGTTTTCTTGTTTTGCTGTGAACTTTCTCAGTCATCGTTTATCGTTCAGTTTGTTCCTTCCTGTTTAGTTGTGGCAGTTTAACAATTTCAAATCATCATATTGCTCAAGCGTAAAGTGAAAATAATGAGTTTTACCAGAGTCATTACGTTGACTGAAAAACATCACATTGGTTCCGGTTTTGACAGGCAACAAAAAATAGTGTTGGTGGTGTTCCTAAACAGCGATTTGAGTCGATGTAACTGTAATCATTACACAACAATCACTGAAAATTCGATTCACTCAACTCGCGTGAATTAAATTTCTTGTTTTTTGGTTGTATAAAGCTACATTCATGTATTGTTATTTGGCAATCTTTTCGAGTTTATCGCACTTAATGATATGGTTACAGCTCTTATTACTGTTTCGTTCACGACATCATTTGAACTCAGTGTTCGATGACACATTCACTTTAGGATAGATACTTTGCTATTCGCTATTTTACCGAACATATTCCACAGTTATTGATGCANATCTGTCTAGGACCTAATTGGTGAAAATTTCAGGGATATTGATCACTAATTGATCAGTAGTGATTGAAACGCTCCAACTGAGCTGTGTTCATGATCTGCGTTTACCCCCTAATTGTTCAAGTGAAGTTACCACAGCGATCGCATCACAATGAGGCTCATATTTTATGTTATTGCTATGATGATTGTCAACGAAGTCTCTGCAAATGCTGAATATTTTTGTGGCCCTCAAAATAGTTCTTTTGTGCATCGTCTATCCAAATGGTTCACAAGTTTTTGCTCTCAAGACGAAAGTAATCATATTTTTCCTGAATTAAAGTTAGATTGTGCTCCTGCAGAGATAGTAAGGTGTATAAACTAGTGCTTAAAGAGCACAGTAAATTATGTTCAAAGATACCTCAAATTCTTGGTTGTCGATGGAATCCTGGCAATTACCTCAACCATTGATGTGGATGATGTTGTAGCAATCAATGAACTCAGATTATTGCAGTAAACGAATGCTGTCATAAGCATGATATTTGTTATGGTAACTGTCTGGTTACGCAAGCCTCATGCGATACTGCGTTCTGCGAATGCCTTCGCACGATCAAAACCAGTTATTACTGTCGGTGCGTTCACGCAGCATTTTCATTTGTTCGCATCCTTATCCATTACATATGCAAGTGCTTTAATTTCAGCTACTTCTCTTCTCTCTTGAGTGTCAATCAAATCTACAAATTATCTTTGTTGAAGTGCAACAGTTGTTTCAATTTCAGGGCAGTAGTTGAAGCTAGCCATTGTGGTCTTGTGTGGATCTTTGGCAAGTCCTTTAAGTGCAGCATTGGCAATCAATCCGAAGAAAATTCAACTCCAGCAAGTATTCTGACCACCCTTCCATCAACAGAAAGTCCAATCACAACGGTTCCTGCCCAGCTAGCTGCGATCAACCCTCCATCCAACCAACCACCTTCGAACGTTCCTTACGGAGGGCAGTTCCCTCCTCAAGGTCCCCCTCCTCCGGGTCCACGGTATGAACAGAATTACAGGTTCTCTCCTTTCGGAGGACCTCCCTTAGGTAGTCAATTTCAAGGTCCACCATTCTATCGTCCTCCCGGTCCACCATTTTATCCTCCTTATCAAGGTCCTTACGATCCCCCACTGAGGTCCAAGCGATCATTTGATCATCTGATTTTATGATGGAAATATTGATCGAAAATATGTGATCAGTGGTTGAATTTAATGAGTTGAAGATTAAAAGCGGTCGGGTCGGCGACAAATTGTTGTTAGGTATTCGGTACCAAGACTTAGTCAGTATAATATTGCTTAATGATATCCGTAGCGATGCACTCGAGTATCCTTATTGTTATGGTTAAAATACTTCATCCTATCACATT